GTATCTATATCAACATTTAGAGTAACCTCTACTTTAGTTCTTACTAACTAAAGATGGTTACACTATGAAGTTAGATGCGTTTCTTTCCGGTTTGGACAATATGAAGGAGAACCTAGAATTGGAATGGTCGGCCATATTGCGTAGGTTAGGATTAGATTGAAAGTCAAAGAGTGCAGGTGGTGTGCATGGTCGTAGCTTGCAGCATAGCGAGTGATATCGCGGAGTGTTAGTTATGAATAAAGAGACCAAAGGCTTCGGCCTTGGAGGGTTCTCGTTAGTTAGTTTTTTCACTTTTGAGCCTGCATTCTCCTCGCGTCTGTGAATTGAGAGTTTGTCACCGTGTGAGAGGTACTTCGGTTTGTCAAAGATACTACATCTTAAGTAACACCTAATTTGGATGTTTTGAGTAGCAATTGGTTAGATCAGGATTTAAGCAAATTCGTAATTGGAAGCCCCGTGCAGCTAACTAAGTGTATCCTTCGGGAATTCCCCCCCCCCTGAATACTAAGACATCGTCGTGATTGACCTCAATGATGATTGAGTGGAGAAGTTTCAGGATTGATGTGTGATTTACGCTGCAATGTGCCTGCTTTCATACTTAGCACTTGCAGTATTTCTAGGAGTGACAGCCGCATGAGAATTCAAACTCTTCAATAGATTGTTAATATGTGACACTTGTTGCTCTTTGTGTTGACTCTGTCCTTGTGGGATCAAATCTTTACCATTACGCTGCATTTTGGTATTTATCTGTCATTACAACTTGCGCTTTAACCACGTATGCACCGACCACGTCCGCACACCACGTTAATCGTGACTATGGTACACCATGACTATGTTTGACTTCTACCGTGTTTGCCACAACCACGTCAACCTCGACTGCGTCCACTGACCATGTCGTTTGTAGAGGTCGTTCCACGTGCACCGTCCGATGAGTCATCTCTGCACTTGAGGGAGCCACGTGGCTCGGGAGGAGGGGTGAGAGCCGCTTCGGCCCTGCTTGGGAGGAAGGAAGAGCCCCGCCGCTTGGGAGTGCGTCGTTCCTGTCCTGCCGCGCAGGAGGGGTCGCTCCGGGAGATGATGGAGGGTGGGATGGTTGTTGCTGTAGCGGGAGCACCGAAGGCCTAGATAGGCCGCCGGATGGATGTGCTCGCCGTTCAAGGATGGGTCCCCGAGCGCCTTGCCTCGGGTGGAAAGGCGTCCGGCCTCGGGGTGGGGGGGGCCTCCTCGATCACTCACAACGAGATGTCCACAAATATACTCACGAACTGCTTTCAACTTTTCACTCAAATCAATAGGTAAGTACAAAAATTGGATTCAACTTTGAAGTGTGTCACTACGTCACAAAGGACATTGCAAAAAACCGTAGTAGAAAACTGTTAGAATTAAAAAGCTTCGACCAAAAAATTAGCAACGTTGAGTAAAGTAAAAATTTTTAAAAGCATTTTCACAGAACCATCAGTGGAAACTTCTCATAAACAACATGTCAGCAAAGCTTCAATTCCAATAAAAAAACTGACATATACATGATTGGAAAAATGTTGTATCAGTGTCTGCTACTACTCTGAAAACTGTCTACAGTGTTCTGAAATTGAAAAAACTATGGACAAGATTGAGAAGACTGAAAAATTTTCTATAAACAAATGTTCAAAAATGTGAAACAAAAAAAATTGTCGACAGAATTCAGAAACTGAACAACTGTCAACAAGATTCATTAGACTGAAAAAAAAACTGAAAAAACTGTCAACAAGATTCATAAGACTGAAAAAGAAACTGAAAAAAATGTCAACAAGATTTAGAAGACTGAAAAAGAAACTGAAAAAAAATATTTCTATTAACAATCTTTCAAAAAAGCAAACCAAAATTTTTCACTATACGTGTAAGTGAAAAACACATAACAAAAAACTTGAATCCAACTCTAAATCGTAAGTCCGCTATGACATCATTTCTTAATGTAAAACCAAGAGTCATTTAAGCCAAGTACAAATCACACAAGACACTCATATAACGTGGTTCACCCTCAAGGGCTACATCCACGGCTGAAACACGCAAGAAGGTTTACTCACAAGTGAATACACAATAATGTCTCAAGTAGAAGCCTTTGGGGGTAAATTTATACCCAAAGCTAGCGACATATCTAGCTATAAATAGCTATAACATGAGGTTACTCCTTAACCGGAATTAACCTCAACAATAATAACATTGTCGTCAGCTGAAAATCATGTCTCATAATCACAGATGACAAAATCAGTGGAGTTGATTTGTCTGATGTTCACTGTTGTCTTTATGCTGATGACTTTATGTGATGAAGTTGATCGTTGAGATGATAACATTATTTTCAGCTGAAATCATGTGTCAACAGATACTTCATCATCGCATTGTAGATGATGACTGTATTTCAATCATGAAGTTTCATTTGTGATAAAACTTGATACAATGATTTCAACAAATGACGTCATCAAGATTTTGCAAATCCACAATGACATCATTATTTATTTTTATATTTGTTTTATCATAATTCCTCCTCAAGCTCAACAGCTTCAAGAAAATAAAGAATCACTTTGACAATTTTTTTGAATGATAGTTTTGCTAAAATGCATAAGGAGATCAATACAACTTTTGTACCTATACAAATGCTTATGACATGAAATAAGATATATAACATATTTGTATTTATAGCCAATTGTAGATCATTCATCTTTTGACATCAAGTCAATTTCAAATGTGCGCAATTTTTCAAAATCGTTAAATTGAAGTATGTATTTTACTTCAAGATAACTTCAACTTTATTGTAGTTGGCAATGTCAAGAAAGCATTGTCAATTCTAGTATTGTTTTGTATCATTCACCCACCATGAAAAAATTCAAGTGTTTTAGATGAGAAACCGTTTATGTGATTATTGAAGATATGTACAAAATCAGATCCACTAATAATTGTTATCATGCACTCTACTGTCTTTTTTGTGTCATGAATATCCATGTGCATTTATCATCTTGTCAATGTTGCCAAAACATCATATTTCTAAATATATTTTGTTGTTGTAGAACTCTATGTTCGTAATTATAAACTTCATTATTTTTTGTCTTATTTATCTTACTTATTTATCTCAAAAGTTGTCTATAATCAAAAAGCTCATATTGAATCAATCTTTGATTGCATATGCAATCATCATATGAGAACATAGTGTTGATTTATCCATCATATGCAATCAAGTAGGAACAAGTAAATAACAATATTCATATCAAATTACTCATACAATTAATATATTAGTAAAAAATTATTCATAGTGATATTGAAAACTGTTCCAACTTATTGACAACCACTTTTCATCAACAAATGTATCATTGTCATAACAAATGCATAATTTTACAAATGACAAAGTATTGTTATGATCTTTCACTTAGTCAATTACTATGTTTAATTCAAGGTGGTAACTGTTTCTACTAGATTTTAGTGTGACACGTATTGATGTTTATTTCTTTACAAACTAAGTATCAACTCCATCAAACCTTAATGCATAGTTTCCACTCCAGGAATGACCATGTCTACTTAGAGTACTTCAACTAGCAACTTAAGATGTATGTGTTCGCAAAATGTGTTGCTCGGTGTCTATTGTCTCCACAATGATTCAAAGCCCTTCCAAGCTTCTCCCTGCCAAGTTTCATGTAGCAGTCAAACCTAAACAACATCAGTCAATGCATGTATCAAAACACTTCAGTTAGTCATAAGAAGCAAAAGAAAAAACGAATAATAACACATGAAAGTAAAAAGCATGTTACACAAACCCTCAATCCCTTTTAACCTTCCTGCCTCGTGGATCCTCAGCACGAGCATCGCCGTGCACGGCGCGGCGGGATAGGTCACCTCAATGCTGCTGCGGCTTCAGATTTTCCCAGAGACGAGGACCATTTACCACAAGTACGCCGCGAGTCCGCACGCGGCGGACTTGTGGTAAATGTGAGTTCTTACGACCAGGGTCGTAGGAAGCATTCACACTTTCGCGCAGACTCCGGTACAGGACTTGTTGATACCTCCGCGTTTTGAGCTCTGTCGTGATTTCCGTCCATGTGGTGGGGCCCTGCCAATGTGCATATCCGGGACCTCAGGCTCCACGTGCGATATATTATGAATAAAATACGACATGCCAACCAGTACATTCAGGGCTAATGTAAAATTAAACTCACTCATTTAGATCGACGATCTTGACACGACGTTTCAGTGTCATGACTTCGTCCTTGGAGAAAAAGGATGGAAAAGGTTCTCACACTTTCGCAGGCGGAGATTTGAATGTGGGATAATAATGGCGCTTCTTGAGGACCCACCTCCCATACGCCATCTACATCGCGGTGTCTGCAAGCAGTGCACATGTGTTGTGCCAAATACCCTAAATTTGTGCAAATCACGTGTACAGCCAAATCCCAGGCTAACTACCCGCGAAGAGAGAGGGAATCGAACCCTCTGCATGCCATCTCTTTCTCTTCACATTAATAACCCAACCCTCATTATCATCCAGGCACATTCGGCACCTGAGTCACTGCAGTTTCCACTCAACACGTTTCACGCTATCTTCTCTTGAGAGAAGAGCCAGCGGTGTTCATCTTATCTGAAGAAAATACAGGTCTTGCAGTACCGCCCGATGCCCAGGAATCTCTGGACGAACCTGTCAGATCACGCCAAGGCTTGCGCCGATTCAGAACGCTGCATCAACAATCGTGGCTGTCAGAATCCAGAATACGGCCTCATGACCGACATAACTTACTACTGGTCAGAACTTACAAAGCTCGACTGTAAGTAGTAGATGTTGGCAGCCAGGGTTGGCCACTTGAGATTTCGGGAGTATGTATGTCACAGGTTGAGTTCTTTGCTTATTATTGCTGGAGAGTTCCTGGTGAAGTCCTTATAGCCGGGTCCTTATATAAGAAGCATGGTTCGTGTCTTCATAGAGGACTAAAAAAATGAATGCCCAGCATAAGGTGTCATTCAAAAAGGAATCAAGTTAGATAGAGCCTTTATTATATAATTCAGATTTCGCTTAAAAAAAAGTATTCAACATCTTTTCTGGTCTGGCTGTATGAAAGCCATTAGGGTTTATGATTCTTTCCTCTCGTTTATAGATATACACAATTGCGAATTGAGAAACATCCACTCATCCTATGGGTATTTCTGTCTCTCCTAGAAAGTATCCACTCAGGCAAAATGCCCCAAATGTCTAAACTGGGAGAAAGAAAGCTGGTATGCCAGCATCATTTACACATTGAAGCCCACCTCACCAAGTAAAAATCCTGACAAACGATGAACCCACAATAGCTATGATCGGGAGCTGACATCCCTCTATCGAATAGAAAGATCAGTTAGTAAACAACGAACAAAACAAACAAATTTTTAATCACTTCTGACTAGGACATAGCATAGAACCATCTGTAACTTGGAAACAAAGCTGTTGTACGATGTTTGTAAGAAGTTGGAAAGCATGGGAGCAGAAACAGAGTTGTAGAATTTACGGGGCTCAGTCTTGTCCAGGACTGCCTCTTGTCATGGTAACACTCTGCAACCCATACTTCGACATCCAACCTTGTGACAGAAACACATTCCGAGGTCGACCGATGACAAACTGAAAAGCTATCAACACTGAAGCAAGAGGATAAATACAGGTTCACACTGTTAGCTCCATGTCCAACACCCCTAAGACATAGGCCTGTTTATCTCAACGAGCGATGTTCATTTTAGTACCACGATTGTACGACGACAGCTACAACGAAAAAGTTCCCGGCGGCTAGGAAGACACCCAGATCGAAGGCGTTCAGAGCACTGAACTCTCACTGGCACTCCATCTAGGACCACTGCGGAGACAAGGGGAAGGGTCCCACGAGTACGAGGACACCCAAAAAACGGTGTTCAGAACACTGACCCTTTACTAACACTCCGTCTAGGACCAGGACGGCCAAGAGCGGAAGTGCCCCGACGGGTACGTGATGGCCAAAACGACGGTGTTCAAAACACTGAACCTTCGCTAACACTACGTCTACGGCGGACCACGGCGTCCACGAGGAGACCCTACAAGTACGACGCCCAGAAGGTCGGTGTTCAGAACACTGACACCTAACTAACACTTTGTCTAGGACCACGGCCGCAACGAGGGAGGGACCCCAACCAGTACGAAGACGCCAAGAACGAAGGTGTTCAAAGTACTGAACTCTCACTAACATCCCCTTCAGTACCACGAGGGTAACGACCCGACGAATACGAGGACGCCCAGGACAAACGGTGTTCAGAGCACCGACCCCTCATTAACACTTCTATCTAAGACAACGACGACCACAAGGAAGCAGCCGACGAGTAAGAGGACCCCCAGAAAAAGGTGTTTAGTTCACTCAACCCTCACTAACAATCCGTCTAGGACCACCACGGCCAGGGGAAAAGACCTGAGGAGTACGAGGAGACCTAGAACCAACGGTGTTCAGGACACAGACCCCTCGCTCACGCTCCGTCTAGGACTACCACGGTCACGAGGGGAAGGACCCCGACAAGTATTGAGTATGCCAAACCACTTTGTTCAGAGCACTGAACGCTCATTAACAATTCGTCAAGGACGGCGATGGTCACTAGGAGAAGAACCCCAACGAGTACGAGGACGCCCAGAACTACATTGTTCAGACCACTGAGCCCAGCACTGACACTCCGTAATTACATGCTTATACATATTGGCAGAGTTACCAACTGTCAATTGACCCACTTATCTGGTGGAACTCAGACCTGTTCACTCAATAAGACGCTTCTACATGCGCAGACGAGGCAAAGAAAGAACAACTTCAAGACGACACTGAACACCATTCTATCCCAAAAGCTTCAAAAGTTCCCATCAATTCGAAGCGGCTGCAATTGATGTACCTTACTGGAGAAATATGGAATCGTTTGCGTGACAGATTAAGGTCTCACTTGTTTACAAAGGCACGTTAGACCGGACCAGTAAATAAACGAGATAAGGTAAATATTGACTAAGAAACCAGATTCAGGACTCCAGTAACCTCATTTCTCATTACAACATTTCATTACTGAAGCTGGAAGTGTTGAGACAAATTAGGTGATTCATCTGAATTGTCGAAGGATATGTGACAGCTCACCCACACCGTTCTTTCCAGAAACTTCACATGACAGCATAGAACCAGCTAACACCAAGAACGGCACTAGCTCCTGCTTTCCTGTACATGACTACTCAGGCATTGATTCAGATAGAGAACTGATTGCTTGTTACAATACTCAGTATCGTGGGTAGATGTAACCAAAATCTCAAAAGAAAATGATCTAGTTGACTCCTGTTTACGTGAAGACCTTTCTGAGTTCAAAGCCAACAGACCCATTTACTCACAAGTGTTACACTAGCTGTGTTTGCGAAATTTTTTAATCCCGTACAATAACGAACCATATTCTCATCAGCTCTATACCCTTCCCAAATTAATGAATTCCGATTACAATGGTGAATTGCTTGCAGATCTACTTAGCAGCAGATATGCTGAACAAAAATCTATCGACCCGCACCTGTGCCCTCACAGGCAAAGTTAACAATTTGAAGGGGAGATCATTCCAGCTTTCAACAACCGTGTTAACGGTTCGTTTGGATCATTCCATCATGGAAGATCACAACCTCCAATTCTTGAGGTTCCTTCTCTTGTTCTTGAAGGTAATTCCTTGTTGCACTTCGTGAGTTCCATACTGCTTTCATCCAAAACCCAACTTTTTCGACACCTCTCAGTTCTCCATTCTGTTGTACATCAAAGAATTCCTTGCAGCCAGCTTGACCAAAAATGTTGCCAGATGTTACTTAGTTACCCATGTTATAATTACATCCACAAATCTGCAAGCCCATTACCTGCAATCACAATTCTTCAGCAGTCTGTCAAGCCCGCATTGAATGCTCCCGCAACTCGTTGGCACCGTGAGCAAAGTGGCACCTCTCTCCGAACGTGCAAGTACCTTGGGCATAATTCTCGCACATCTTTGTTTTGTAGTTGTGGGAGCCGAATCCTGCGGGCTTGACAGGCAGATTATCTCGATGCATCAGAACCTGACGCACCATTGTGCTGGCTTGTTTAATCTGCTCAAAAGATCCTTCCATCTCAACGTTCCTCAAAGTCGGATCTGACTCATGTTCTCTGATAGAGAGCTTAGCCCCTGTCAAGCGGCATATCTGCTTCGCATTAACACCTCCCTTGCCGATGATTGCTCCAGCTAGAGAAGCCTCTATACTAATTTTTGCTGTAGATGAGGCCCCGAAAGACGCTGCTGCAGCTAACCCTGGAGGCGTTGGTTCCCTTAAACCGTAAGGCCTACCACCGTCTCTACCACCACCACCACCTCCTCCTCCTCCTCCTCCTCCTCCGCCGCCGCCGCCGCCCCCACCCCCACCCCCACCCCCACCAAACCTTCCTTCAGAAACAAACATGCCTCCGCCGCTACCACTGCCTCCTGAACCCTGTCTGTACCCACTGCCAGACGATGATGGTGCTGGGCCACGACTCCGGGGAAACTCGACTAAGGACTCACGCTCGGGTGGATTGCTAGAGCTGGTCGACTTGCGTAGTTGATTTTCGCCATGAGCAAAGTGACACTTCTCACCAAACCGACATCCTTCTGGTGTATCATATCGATTGCAAAGCCGAGTTCTGAATCCTCCAAGGTTCGCTCCCTGGTCTGACGGAGACAAGGGAGCAGGGATTCCAGCAGGTCCAACACCACCAAGAACTTTTCGTACACCACCCCCACCTCCGCTTCCACTACCACCACCCCCACTACCTCCTGCTCCACCGCCACTGCCACTCATCATACCACTGCTGGAACTCATATTGGATAAAGTGTTGATACCCAGAGGAACCCCGCCGGGGACATAATGGAGGAAGTGGCAACCCTCGCCATACGGACAGCCAGACGTGCTACAGATAAAAAAGGCCACAGTCAGTGAAACCAGCGACGGTTAAGGTTATGCGTATTCCAAGAACAATTAAAAGAAATCCAGGAAAACACAGAATAGGGCACGCTCAACCTAAAGAATTTGGTGCACGGTTTAGTACGATTCGCATTTCCGCCCCCGCTGGACTCCTTTTCTGCCATCGCAACAAAACAATCCCGATCACGTCAAAAATATGAAAGTTGGAAGCCGGAAGTTGATTCTTTAGGTTTCCCATTATTATTTGTTGTTTCAGATCTCGTACCACACCCGACAATAAAATCTTCAGTCAACATCAATACAGGTAAAGCTGTAAGTATTGAGGTATACAAATCTTGAAGCGTGTAAAAAATCTTTAATACGCTTAAAAGTATGGCGATGAAGGCCAATTCAGACCAGTTCCACAACTTACAGGAAGCGAAGGCTGGAATACAACGTCAGGCTTCACCGCTAAGCAGGAGCTAGTGCGGCGTCCCTGTAGTTGCCACTCAATGGACGAACCCAAGCGACCTTTCTGAATTTTAGACTACAAACTTATCAAAACCGTAACGAGACAAGAACACGAAGAACAGAATCGTAAGTCCAAAAGGACATTCCACATAATAGTGCGCAGGAACTTAGACATTTCCGGTTTGTCTCGTTAACGTTGCCTGAATAACAATCTTCTTCATTGAAGAAAATAGTTCGTCCAATATACTACTTTCAGATAAACAGATACGGGAATAATGTTACAATAATTTGTGAGCCGATCCAACTGAACAGATGGCTAGGAAGTTTTGCCTTCCAGACACCTTGCAATGGACTTCAATACTTTTATCTGGAAGGTCGTATACAACCATGGAGCCGGTCAAAGAAACACAAACTCCTGTAACTCATCAATCAATCAAATGGAACCATATGGAGGTGTTTATATTAATCGTTGTAAATACACAGGACGCTAGCTGCATCCTACGTTTGTTATCCTTCATTCAACTAAGAAACGCCACACAGTTGTCATGACAGATGCTCAGCTGTGGCTCAAAGACTTTTCTTCTACGTGCTGAGAGTAGTGCTTTCTGATGAGTTCGACAGATTGGCAAGTCGACTTAAGAGACAGGACGAGACTGCGACGCGACCAATATGGAGATAGTAAAGATGTGAAAATCGGCTCGAAATAAACAAGTCAGAAAGGATGAGTGTAAATTACAAAACATTTTATTATTTATACCATGAGTGTTCTGGATATATCCATAGTTGTCTGAACATAGAATGAGGTCAAGTTATAAAATATCTGTGAGCCAAAACTGTGAGCTATTTAACAGAAGAGTTCCAGAGCAGTGTTTGGAAGAAGCAAAGTACAACCAAGTAGGCGCGTTCCTCAGACTGGTGACGGTCACAAAATAAGTAGGATCAAATAGATCTAGAGCATCCGCAACATACTTGCAAGATAGGCTGATTAACATGAAAGCGTGTCCACGGGTGCAACACCGACACGAGAAGTTCGAACTCTGTGGCGCGTTGTGAACAAAAAGAGACTGCCTGGTAAAGGACTCTCCTCCACGAGAAGGGTTCCCAGGACTAGGCAGCCCAATCCGAAACTTTAATGGGAACGACCCGGCAGTCATACTCTCAGAGAAGTGCACTCTTCCAGACCAGATCTCAAAAAAGATGATACCCAAAACAAGGCTCAGACTGTGGCCGTGCGACGTGGGCAAGATGCCGTCAGTAGAATACACAAATACGGCATACTTATGAAAGGTGCAGAAACCACACGAGTCGATCTTAAAACAGGAGAAACAGTGAATGAAGCATCAAGGTGCGCTGTCAAATCGCCCGTGACAGAAGAACCTAAGAAAAAACACGAAAGAGAAGACATACCTGGGAGGAGAGATAACGAAGCTACGGAAGGAGCAATGGGACCCGTGGGTGCACCGGGAACATGTCTGAAACGACACGCATCTCCGTAAGGACACCCCTCGGGAGTGTTGAATCTCCTACACTCCATCTCGCTGCTGCCAGCAGCAGAATGGCCGTTCCCATTGCCATTCAGAGAAGAATCGGCCCTGGGTCTCTTGCGCGGAGGACCGTAGGGATCCATAGCTGCAGCAAGTCCTGCACTGACAGACGACTAGACGCGGACTGTCACTACAACTGAAGGAGGGCAAAAGGACTTGAAACACCGACGCAGCTCGAAGACTGCTACTACACAGCTCGATCCCAGTCCTAGAAAGAGTGCTTAAGACTCCCCACGCATTCAATCGCGACAAGCGAACACAGCGAATATGAACGCAACCGGCCCCGAGCAATGTGAGCAAGCTTCGAGGACCTCAGGGTGCACCAGCGAGGCAAGCAGAGGCGAGCGCAGACAGCGGAGCGGAAGTAAGTGGATGAGAGAAAGAGGGAGAGAGAGGGGGAGCCGTGAGAGGCGGCGTTAGGGCTCGTCGAGCCCGAGGCCCGCTGGGCATCAAATATCTCCTTTGGAGGGAAGCCCGTTGTACTATGGTATCGCGCGAGACGCACAGCCCCACAGGCAGGCGACAGAGGGTGGATCCCAGCGGGCGGAAGGTGCGAGCCAACGGGCGACCCCCCGAAATCCGGAGCGAATTTTCGTTTTCGGTCCTGTCCAGGTGTCAGCAGTTGGCCGCTACTGCGCGGTTCCAGGATTTTAATCTGAGCTGAAGCAATAATTATTTCCTTTTAAATATAATATGGGTCCGACATTCTCGGGACAGTGCAGTTGTTTAAAAATAAAATAGTGAGGAGAGGAAGGCCGCGAACGATGCAAGCGCGACGCGCTACAGCTACACCCGCAAAGCATGTTCATGATGCTCCATACGACAAAGCGTTCTGTTACACGTGTCGTTACTGCAGTTTGCCGACCGCCATGTTGCTCAAAAGCTCTGCCTACAGAAGAGCTTGACAGCATTATTTTATCTCTTGGTACTCGAGGAATAAAGGTATTGTTTCGTGAGTAGTGCATATTATTGAATCTTGGTTACAAGACAGCAAACTAAAGCCACCTCCACCATATGCCTCGTGGTGACGGCCAGGGCCTTTCATATGTACACAGTTCTTGCTTTGTAGTACTGTAGTGTGAATCAAGCAAACTTAATTGAGTAACTAGTTAGGTTTTGTGGTAAACTATAACTCATGAGAGTCGTTTCACGCCTCTTAAGATTTCACCCTCCACATTTGCATAGCTTTTATTGTAAACTCTCTTGCGAAGAAGAAAGAGCGATACAAAGTGCCACTGCGTTGAGGTTGTGACCTTCGTACGCGAAGTCAAGCTCGAGAGAAGAAGCAGCACTTCCTTGTTTTCTTGTGGTCAGCAGCTTATCTCTTTCCTATCCATTGCCTCATCTGTAGTGTAATGTCCGACATAATATCTTGATTTAAGTATTAGGCTCCGTCTTCGCCGGGTGGCATTAACCTCACTCGGGTCTCTCGATTCTTCAAGATCGAACTTCCTCTCTACTTCCTCTTCTATCAAAGTTTATATGGCTCTTGTGCTTTCTTGTAGACCTTGATGCGTCCTCGCTTTCGTTCTTCTAGTGTGAAAGCGATGAAGTTTTTTCTGGTCTTCCCGGTGGAGGACATTGGACGATCTCCTGAGATACTTTTGCTGAACATATATTTTAGATCGCAACTCATCTTCAAGCTATTTCTTGCAGGTCCTCACCTGCTTTGAGCCTCCAGCTCGTGATCAATCAAACCCGGTGAGATCTTTAAATGTCCAGAGTCATAAATAGCATTCAGAGACTCCAGGTCCACCAAGACATCAAGATAAAGTGAGCACATATGTTTTCAAGATATATTCAAATCTAGTATGTTCAATCCATCTAGTGAGATGCAGGATTTCTTGCCATGCTTTTCTTGAACTCCTTGCAAGGAGTTTAAGAATGAGTCAGAATTTTAATATCTGATACAATCATCATTCCTCTCAATAGCTCAATTCTTGAACCTACTAAGAGTTCTTTAGTAGAGTCAAATGAGGGACATTAAAGTGATCTCTATCATTAATATTTTAATACTGCAGACGCCACATGTAAATTACGACTTATTCTTAAACTCCTTGATAGCAGTTTTTCGAAAGCATGGCCAAAAATCTTGAATCTCACCAAATGAATTGAATATTCGAGATCTGAATATATCGTGCAAACAAATGAGCTAATCTATCTTGATCTATTGGACCAATCAATCCTTCGACTCATCATTGATCAACAGTCAATTTTCTATTCATGAAACAAATTCTTCTCAAATTTGTTTGAGAGTCTTTTTTTCACTTCTCTATTTATATTATTTGAGAAATTATTATAGTTTCATGTGATAACTATCATGTAAATTATTTTTCTCAAAATAAATCTTGATAGGTTGGACTAATTTTCATTACAAGGTAATATGAAATTGACTTAAATTTTCTAGAATCTATCTTGTCCCTAGATGGAGGTGGCAACATGTCATTTTAGAATGTGAATGATTAATTTGCTTTATCAAAAACTATTGAGGTTAAAGTTGATTGTTTGTAAACGTTTACAATATAGCACACTATCCGATCTTGAATTTTTTTAGTCTTTTTTGTTGCTTTTTTGATATGATCTCTTCATCAATTATTTGTTTTTGAAATTTTCATGGATCACATTTAACCTTATGCATGAGAACTTTGATAATTAAGAAAATATCTTCATGTATTGCTAACTTTTGTTTTTAGTAAAGCACACATCACATATTCTTGTTTGATAATCTTTGAATAAAAAAGTAATACACTTGTGATGAAGACTAATTAAATTTTTTTTATGATTTTTTGCAATCAATCATGGATCTTTGTAACTTCATAACAAGAGAATTGAAGCTTTCAATGATCTTGTTTTGAACTATCAATCTATTATATCTTGAGTCACAATGTTACATGTCAACGACACTACAAAAAAAAAATAGAAGGTATTTTACGACTATTTTATATGAAAATTTAACAAGGAGAGTGACACAATCATACATTCATTTAAATGTATGAAAACATGTGGATAAATGGACGACATCAGTTCTCACGTGTCATTCCATTCTTCATAAGATTGAGGTCACGTTTGAAAATAATTTCTCCAAGTTTTTAACTCTGAGAAAGCACTTCAGATTCCAAAGTCACAAAAGATAACCATGACGTATATTTGAAAGTCTAAGCTTTAAGCCGTGATTCTTCATGATTATCATCTTCACCCATTACTCTCATGATAATTCACACAATTATACTTAGAGTCGTTGTCAATTTTTGGTTTCTTACGATGTGTTCAACAAAACTTTTCCTTTTTTATACCTTATTTCGTTTGTTGATAATTGTTTACCATTATTCAACAATTATCATGTTTTCAAAAATGATGGTGGAATTACCATTCTTTAAGTATTTAAATTTAAATCCATATTCTTTTGTAAATCCATATTCATGTTGTGTCCGTTATAGGTATCCACACCATGACACCACCGTATATCCCAATGTACTTAATCTGCTCCAGCATGCAGACTCTACTTGTCTTTAATAATCCTCCTCTTGCATGAGCTTTGCTAGTGCCGTAAGAGAATTCTTCAGTGCGCGTAAGTACTACACTAATCTTCTCAAAAATAAGGTCTCCGTCACTGCCTGCGCACCGCCCCAATACCTTCGTCCAATGCTCGATGGTCCATAACATGGGGTTGCCTCGGAGATCTTCGCCTTCGGTCTTGTTCTTATCTACGATCTCTTTACATATACTCACCGAAACGCAATTCCAATTCCGTAGGAGGAATTCGAGACGGAACTCACTCAGCTTGCGCCTGAAAGGTCGCAATTCCTCGTATGTCACCTTCAAGGGGACCAACTTCCGCACCTTCTCACTCTTCTTGATCGGCGCCATATCTTCGATTTGCGTATACACTGTTAGCAAGCTCGGTCATTCCCGCTCTCTCTCACTTCCGCTCGTTCTTGCTTGATATCGCAATGTCGGCGCGAAGGCCTCTCGTAGTGCCTTTACGCAATTCCAATTCCGTAGGAGGAATTCGAGACGGAACTCACTCAGCTTGCGCCTGAAAGGTCGCAATTCCTTGTATGTCACCTTCAAGGGGACCAACTTCCGCACCTTCTCACTCTTCTTGATCGGCGCCATATCTTCGATTTGCGTATACACTGTTAGCAAGCTCGGTCATTCCCGCTCTCTCTCACTTCCGCTCGTTCTTGCTTGATATCGCAATGTCGGCGCGAAGGCCTCTCGTAGTGCCTTTACCCTTGAAGCCCTAACCTCGCCTTCTCGAATGTCCAATAGAATTTCCGGCGCGTGCGAACTTTGTCCAACCCGTTGCGCAATTTCAAATTGATCCCGATGTCTTTGCCGAAGACCCAGATCTTAGTATGTCCCAAAAAGGCTACGCCAAAGACCCGAAGATCTTCGGCCGTGGGCGAATTCTAACTAATTTTATCATAGTTCGTCAAAATCTACTCTTTCTAACATATATACCTATCTTCTACACGAATATGTTTATGTTTTGTTGATTTTTAAATAAAAACGAAAAAAACTAGACCTCGCAACTCTTGCCAATTTCGATTAAAAACTATCTCTCGAGTTTATAACAAAGGATATATTGTGCCAAACTTCTTCCATAATAGTCACCTGTATTGGAAGTTTGAATATATGTTTGTATATATAGTATAAATAGGATTATACTAGTTCATATACTTTATTATCTTCGAAAAGTTTTTGGTATTATCTGGTATAAGACCTGTATGTTTCTTGTTTCTGGTAGAAGCCTATATATTTCTTGTATATTTGTTTTCATTATGAAGCCTTTCATGAATGCAATCAGTTCTGCAATTTTACTCCCAGCGAGTAGATCTACGTCGTTTAACAGAGTGTCATCACACTGTTTGCAACCACACATCATCTTTAAAATGTAACCATGATCCAAACAATCGTCGCACTAGAGATTAAAGCTGCATTTACGGTTGGTTGCTCCATACATACATACTCTCGCCAGCAACAAATTTCACTGTTGGGCGAATCAATGTTTGTGAGATAGTCCATTTTTCTATCTTCAGAACAAGAGAAGCAGATCAAAAGAAGCGACGAAGAGACAAGTCCTTGTACCTTTGAGAGTAGATAGGACACAAGAATTTTTTTAAGTTTTGTCATTATCAATATTATGAACAGGCAACTAAAGTCTTTGATATGAAGTATGACAAGGATTTGAAAACCCGCGAATGATATATTTCACTGAGGATTCATGATACAAACCTCCTACCTGTATGCGCTTGTTTAAATCCAAGACAAAATCTACAGCGAGAACTTGAACGATTCCACTTGTAATTAGCGGTTTCAGCCATCGGAGTTCCCTGTTCTAAACTTCCCCATCTCTATGTATAGAAGATTTGAATGTAAAGTGAACATCGGACAGCTCAACGTTGG